GTATGGAACGAACTCTCTGTTATTATTGTTTTTTAAAAAGGTTAGCGCTTGTAGTAGAAAGCTCTTGAAAAACAAACCAACGTCACAACCATCTCGGCTTGTGCGCTGACCTCTTGCAAGATTTCGTTATGTGGGAAAAGCAATAATTAGACTGAACTCAAAGCCCCCAATAGGAAATCTCAATAAAACTGCACGGCGCCCGAACATGCTCTGTGAACCAAGAACAAGGTGAATAGGTTCAATAAAGAATAGTGTAATAGCTTTCGCGGCCATCCGTCTTGCGTACGATATACAAGGCTCAAATCGTGTCAACCTTATTTTAAACCTCTATTCATAATACACGGGTAGTATCTAATCTAAATGTGCCCTTCCTAACTTGTGACACCAGGTGGTTACGAGAGGTGAACATGTTGATCCCACGTGTGACACCAGGTGGTTACGAGAGGTGAACATGTTTACCCAACGTGAGACACCGGGTGGTAACGCGAGGTGGCTATATTTATACCACGTGTGACACCGGGTGGAAACGAGAGGTGGACATGTTTATCACTCGTGTGACAACAGGGTGCTAACGCGAGGTGGACATGGTTATCCTATTTGTGACACCGGGTAATAACGAGAGATGGACATGTTATTAACACTTGTGACACCAGGTGCTAACGAGAGGTGGACATGTTTATCCTACTTGTGACACCGGGTGCTTACGAGAGGTGGACACGTTAATCCAACTTGTGACACCAGGTGCTAACGAGAGGTGGACATGTTTATCCCACTTGTGACACCAGATGCTAACGAGAGGTGGACATGTTTATCCCACTTGTGACACCAGGTGCTAACGAGAGGTGGACCTTGTGACACTAGATGCCAACTTGTGACCCAAAACTCGTCGGAGATGACAATATCATCGTACATTTCATCACGTTAAATTGTCACAAGCAGCTTCGAAAGCAGCTGTGAAGATCCAATCGTCATTACCTGTGGCATAGAGACCCGTGAAGAACCCGGGGTAGAATAGATCTTCAGCAACCCATGCTTGACTATGCGGCGACTATGCTTGTCATAAAAGGCGACTTACGGGATCGGGTGGTCAGGCTCGCTGACTTGGTTGATGCATGTCATCGTTCCCAAATGCGTGGATCGATGTTCATGATATCAAACACTGGATTTTCTGGTCCAGACTCGATTATTTACCGACCGCCGTCATATAGCTGGAATATTGCTGAGTGCGGCGTTAAGCAACAAACCAACCAACCAACCAATCTGTAGAATAGAACGCAGTACTCCGTACTGACGTCGGAGACTTCGCACTTTATCGTGCTCCGATAGCGTGGATCTTCGTCTCTCACCGACTACACCTAATAATATGGTACTTGGGGAGTGTGGTAGACGCCCTCTGAAGTCTATCTATATGGCAAGGACAGTGATATAATGGTACAGACTTTTTTATTTTGACCCTCCTAGAGCACCTCGTCAAGCCTTCTTAATGTTAAAATCACTTGATTATTTGTTATTCGAGCGACAATCATTATAACATTAAGATAAACATCTCAAAGTTTAGATGTAATAAATTCCGTTTAAAATGCCGTTTAAATGCGATACTTTATGTTTCTGTTAACATAATAACGATGAATTCCATGTGATTTTTATATGTGAACGATACCCCACCATAAGAAGAAAATACGTCTCATCATATTACACGGAATATCTCTTATAAATTCCAAAACAGGTGATATCCTTGTCCTTTAAGAGCCAACAAATAAAAAAACACTGAATACTTTTTTTTCATGAATGAAATTTTTAGATGCATGTACCCTACTCCAGCAGGCGTCATCTATCATGTTATAATATGGGCCTGGTGGCGTGCTACTGTCTGTCTGTCTGTCCGTCCGTCCGTCCGTCCGTCCGAGGCTTCAGGCTATTTCTGAACAGCCACTTCGAAGCATCTACATATGCCGTTGTTCTCATTTTGATATATAACATAGTCGATTTCCGATACGTGATGAGAACTTGGAACTTCATGTTGTTCTAGACGGACAAAAAGCACTGGTTCACACCATATGATGCAGCGAGTCAGTGCCTTATGACTGTTGCCATGGAACAGTCACAAAATAATTCTACATGATCAAATTTCGGATTCAGTATTTTTATGTTTGTATGTGAATCTGTGACCCTGACGAGATATGTTCGTCAAACATTGCCCTGGCTCGGATACAGTTATCGGAAGTGTAAATCCTAACCTCGCTGACTTGATTACCCCATGAAGCCATTTTAGGAAGGATTTAGTTAGCGTTCGTAAACGTAGATAGAGTGCCTTTAATATGTATTAGTGTTAGACACAAGACTGTCATTATCGTTAGCATGAAGAAGCACTGTAATATATTTACATGTCACCAATTGAATTAAATGTTCTGAAGTCTAGGGGCTGAATGACAGAACACAACGTGAAAATAACGATGCTAAAATCAAGAATTACCGAGGCTCCAAGCAATGCATTAGTCAGACAACTAAATCATAGTTCTGGAATATACGTACAGTGGAGCCACTTGCAAGGGCTATTTAAGACTTGCATATAATGTTATTAATGCAATTAATAGGGACATATTTTCAATGGGTAAGCAGTTCATGTCTACTTACCTCTATGAGACAGTTAAGCCTTGTATAATCCTCAGCTTTGAGAGGTGCATCTCCATCGATTGATTCAGTCACATTAGCAAGTTTACGATGGCGATTTCCCCCGGCAACTGATTGCGATCTGAATTCGTTTCCACGGAGCCAGACTTATTTTTCAAAGATTCTCTCAAGCCCTTAAGGAAGAGAGTGTAATTGAATTGACTTGTCTGTCATAAAACCGGCGTAATTGTATTCCGATTAAACACTACTGCTTATGTCAATTTAACTGCGTCCATCAATTCTGAATTCAGTTTAGATCGCACTGTGGCCTATACACGGACCCTCATGGTGCTTGTGACGAGACGTCTCCAGCATTGACACTACAGGAGAAATACACACCTTCTTGACGACCTGTTTTATTGGTTGACAGTTTGTGTCATGTGACGTGAAACGTCATACTGGTATAACCAATCATGGGAGGCCATACTAACACAGTTTCTGCCTCAATATATACACCCTTAAGTTGGAACGAGAAAACGCGCCTGTCAATGTTTAGTGAGAAAATGCAAATATACTAAGACAGGGGTCGGGAATGGTGGTTACTGCGGGGATATTGATTTTAGACTAGAGAGAGCCGACAAGGAACAGATAGAAACAGATCCGTGATTATTATCATATACTAGTGCCAGACTTGCGTCGCCATGACGTGTGAACAACAGCTCTATGTCATTGCCATCGACCCCATTTAACACATCTGTGTTTGTAAGGTATGGTGTCGAAAGGCCAAGATAGGAATCTGGGCGAATCTCGTATTTGAGTCAGCGTTGACATACATTGATTGAGTTGGGTGAGTGCTTTTTAACATCACAGCACATGTCAATTTTGTTTAACATCACAGCACATGTCAATTTTGTTTAACATCACAGCAGAGGTCAATGTTGTTTAACATCACAACACAGGTCAATGCTGTTGAACATCACAGCACAGGTCAATGGTGTTAACATTAGAACTAAAATCAATGTGGTTTAACATCACAGAACAAGTTAATGTTGTTTAACCATCATAGCAAAGATCAATCGTATTTAACATCACAGCCAAAGTCAATAGAGTTTAACATCACAGCAAAAGTCAATAGTGTTTAACATCAAAGCACAGGTCAATCTTGTTCAACATCACAGCACAGGTCAAGGTTGTTCAACATCACAGCACAGGTCAAGGTTGATCAACATCATAACACAGACCCGGAAGATTCCGGGGTAGAATAGGTCTTCAGTAACCCATGCTTGCCGCAAAAGGCGACTATGCTTGTCGTAAAGGGCGACTAACGGGATCGGGTGGTCAGGCTCGCTGACTTGGTTGATGCATGTCATCGATCCCAATTGCGTGGATCGATGCTCATGATAACAATCACTGGATTTTCTGGTCCAGACTCGATTATTTACAGACCGCCGTCATATAGCTGGAATATTGCTGAGTGCTGCGTTAAACAACAGACACTCAAAACAAACAAACAAACAAATCATAGCACAGATGAAGGTTGTCCAACATCACAGCATAGGTCAATGTTGTTTAACAGACTGTTTCATAAAGCTTACCTTAAAGGAGGGACCAACACATCCCCGATATTTTTCTTCATTTGTTGACAGTAAAATTTGTTATCCACCCGGAGAAAAGGGATCTTATGGTTGCTAGGATACAATTGTGCTGTGACGTCATACAGTCGTTTGACGTCAACTTACTTTCGTAAAACTCGCCATGTGTGCGGACTGAATTTTTTTCTCGTTAGTTCGTAAAGTAATTAAAACATAATTTCAAACACTTTCAGCATACATGTCCTTTCTTAATTAATCAGACATTGTATCTAAAAACTGCTACTATTACATAAACAGTTATAAGTTGGAAAAATGAGTCAAAATGTTTGATGTCATGTATCTCTGTAATAAATATGAATTGAAGCTTGTAAATTGTATTTTTATGGTCCTAAGATACTGTAGTTTTAAAATATAATAAGAAGTGAAAACGTGATTTTTTTCATCCACAATCCCCCTATCTCATGGCACAGGAGTCTGTCTCTAAAAAATAGATGAATATGCATGAGGGCGTCTATTTTTAGATACTGACTCCTGTGCTCATGGTTGGTCGCATTTGTGCATTTACAAGATGTCAAAATTTTCGCATTTATGTCTCATACTACGGTATGCGTTTCTGTCTGAGAAGATCCTTGAACATGTCATCATTTTCGCCTTTATGTCTCATACATACTAGTATTTGGTTTTACGGCATCAATGTTTGGAACAGCTCCGTAATGCTAAGGAACGAGTCTGTTGTGACGCCATCTGTCCAGTAACTCATGGTACCAGCTACGTACGTTGAGTGCGTGACAGATCGCGATGACGTCACCTAATGGTGTTTCGAGTAGGCTGAACCACTAACTTGGGTTTCAACAGTTTTGCAGTCACATCATTTCAGTGTTTAATGTGAGAGTGGCGCTGATTCGTAGACAAGTCTTTTGATCATGATGGATCTGTGGGTGAGTGAGTGAGTGAGTGAGTGAGTGAGTGAGTGAGTTGATGATCATATAATTTATAGCCCAAACAGTAATTACCGCCTCCGTGGTCTAGTGGTAGAGCGCCCGGAGTCGGGGGTTCGATCCTTGTTAAAAGATTGTACTTGTTGTTACCCTGCCTGGTGATCGACAAAACAAGGACTGGTCGGCTCGGAGTCAATATTCTTTGTCAGAGACAATTGGGTATTCATTTAAAAACTACGGCATTGTATCTGAGTGGGCTAGCACTATAAATCGGCATCAGACAAGTACAAGCAGCCACACACACACACACACACACACACACACACACACACACACACACACACACACACACACACACACACACACGTGTATGTACGTCGGTATATAAGTGCAACAATCTTGAACGTGACTTTAAACCCCATTTCACCTCACCTCACAATAAGGAATGTGTTCGGGCACACTCTATCTTTCTCAGAGAGCGTCATACGACTCTTGCTCAAAAGTTATCAACATACAGTTCCTCAAGGTCTTCACAATGTTTTAAGTCCAAATGTGTCGCATCTGTGACAAAAATGATGTCCAACTTGTATCAAAGGTTGTGTCGCTTTCTCCAAAACAAGGCAACAGCTAGATGTATTCATCAGATGTGTCTCTCTGTCTCCCCCCCTCTCTCTCTCTGATACAGACACTAGTGATACAGACACTAGTGATACAGACACTAGTGATACAGACACTACTGATACAGAAACAAGTGATACAGAAACTAGTGATACAGACACTAGTGATATAGACACTAGTGATACAGACACTAGTGATACAGAAACTAGTGATACAGACACTAGTGATACAGACACAAGTGATACAGAAACTAGTGATACAGACACAAGTGATACAGACACAAGTGATACAGAAACTAGTGATACAGACACAAGTGATACAGAAACTTGTGATACAGAAACTTGTGATACAGAAACTAGTGATACAAACACTAGTGATACAGAAACTTGTGATGCAGAAACTTGTGATAAAGAAACTAGTGATACAGATACTTGTGATACAGATACTTGTGATACAGAAACTTGTGATACAGAAACTTGTGATACAGAAACTAGTGATACAGACACTAGTGATACAGAAACTTGTGATACAGACACTAGTGATACAGAAACTAGTGATACAGAAACTAGTGATACAGACACTAGTGATACAGAAACTAGTGGTACAGAAACTAGTGATACAGAAACTAGTGATACAGATACTAGTGATACAGACACTAGTGGTACAGACACTAGTGATACAGAAACTAGTGATACAGATACTAGTGATACAGACACTAGTGATACAGACACTAGTGATATAGACACTAGTGATACAGACACTAGTGGTACAGATACTAGTGATACAGATACAAGTGATACAGATACTAGTGATACAGATACTAGTGATACAGATACTAGTGATACAGAAACTAGTGATACAGACACTAGTGGTACAGACATTAGTGATACAGAAACTAGTGATACAGAAACTAGTGATACAGAAACTATTTATACAGAAACTAGTGGTACAGAAACTAGTGATACAGATACTAGTGATACAGACACAAGTGATACAGAAACTAGTGATACAGAAACTAGTGATACAGACACTAGTGATACAGAAACTAGTGATACAGACTCTAGTGATACAGACACTAGTGATACAGACACAAGTGATACAGAAACTAGTGATACAGACACTAATGATACAGAAACTAATGATACAGAAACTAGTGATACAGAAACTAGTGATACAGACACTAGTGATACACGAACTAGTGATATAGTACACAGACAAATTAAACATGTACCGTATTCAGTATATTAGAGGCCCGGGCGCCTATCCAGCATCAATGAGAGGCCCGACGTCTATTCTGCTTTACAATCACACAAAGGATACGTTTGCAAGGAAAGGCCATTACTAATCATCAGCATATCACAGTAACAAGAAAACGGTTGAGACGGGCGGCTAATAGCGGCCCGGGTTTTGTTTTGGACAGAGCGAAGGACCCCGCGTCAATTGGAGGCCGGAGAGTATTGGATATCCTGCGTCTGCAAGAGGAAATATGGTACATATTTAATCAGAGTAACTTGTGTGCCTAACGAGCTTTTTTAGCCGTCTCCAGATTCAGTCCAACCAGCCCAGCGAGGCTCACGACACAAGAAGTGCTGAGTTTGCATAATGTGGTTCAACAGATGAAGATGGTAATGGCACGGGTATGTTTTCAAGGATTGTAATTTATCAGATGCGTGAATGTGAAATAGGAAGGAATTGAGTCAACTAATAATAATAGTAATAGTAATAGTAATAGTAATAATAACAATAATAATAATAAAAATGATGATGAGTGAGTGAGCGAGTGAGTGAGTTTGGTTTTACGCCGCTTTTAGCAATATTCCAGCAATATCACGGCGGGGGACACCAGAAATGGGCTTCACACATTGTACCCATGTCGGGATTCGAACCCGGGTCTTCGGCGTGACGAGCGAACGCTTTAACCACTAGGCTACCCGACCGCCCCTAATGATGATGATGATGATGATGATGATGATGATGATGATGATGATAAGTGAATTTATAATGCGCCAGATTCCATTCACCAAGTGGATGCTCATAGCGCTACACTGAAGTTGTCCTTCTCTCACAATAAGATCCTGAATACCTAGCATTAACGCCTCCACAAAGAGTGAGTGAGTGAGTGAGTTTGGTTTTACGCCGCTTTTAGCAATATTCCAGCAATATCACGGCGGGGGACACTAGAAATGGGCTTCACACATCCTCCACAAAGAGTGAAACACGCCGTAAAATAGATGCATCTTCCAACAAAGGAGTCTTGTACAACAAGAAGCCATGGACTGAATGCATAATCACGGCGGGACAATTTCACAGTTTCCCCGGGGTAAAGCTGACACTCACAGGCAAACCGTTTCTCCAAAGAAATAAACGTGAATCATTATTTTAATCAGTATATCAAGCACTAGCGTAATTATAACAACTACTGACAATACATATTAATGTCTCTGGGGGCGAGAGTTTCACGATCACCATCCACATCACCATCACTTTAATCATGACCATCACCATCACCATCACTTTCACCATCACTTTCACCATCACCATCACTTTCACTATCACCATCACCATCACCACCACCATCACCATCACCATCACCATCACCATCACTTTCACCATCACTTTCACATCACCATCACTTTCACTATCACCATCACCATCACCACCACCATCACCATCACCATCACCATCACTTTCACCATCACCATCACCATCACCATCACCATCCACATCACCATCACTTTAATCATGACCATCACCATCACCATCACTTTCACCATCACTTTCACCATCACCATCACTTTCACTATCACCATCACCATCACCACCACCATCACCATCACCATCACCATCACCATCACCATCACTTTCACCATCACCATCACCATCACCATAACCATCACCATCACTTTCACCATCACCATCACTTTCACTATCACCATCACCATCACCATCACCATCACCATCACCATCACCATCACTTTCACCATCACCATCACCATCACCATCACCATCACCATCACCATCACCATCACTTTCACCATCACCATCACTTTCACCATCACCATCACTTTCACCATCACCATCACTTTCACCATCACCATCACTTTCACCATCACCATCACCATCACCATCACTTTCACCATCACCATCACCATCACCATCACCATCACTTTCAGTTTCACCATCACCATCACCATCACAGTCATCATTACCATCACCATCATAAACAAGACGTTAAGCATTGGCCTCTTCCCGTTATGGCCCAAATAGAAACTATACAATGCTGCCGACTGTTTGCAGCAAGACGTACACGACCCCGACTTCTACTGACTCGCTACAGCCAATTGAATTAACATTACAACACACGACAGTAAGAATGATCGCCCCAAGCACTTTGCTGATAATGCAATTTTTTACCGTCTAACTTGAGAGACAGGGACACCTATCTATCTAATTCCTGCATCATCAACAACATTAAGACAGATGCGAATAGGTTCAGCTTCCTTCGGTGTTATTTGCGTATAACATTGCCGAATTATCGACATCTCAATATTGATTGTTTTATTATTCGGCCTTATTACTAGTATGTCTCTAGATTTGTCAGCATCATATCTTTGCTCTTGGTTTTCACAAAATGTAAGACGTCCAAGGCCTTCATTACTTTTGGCCGTGATATTGTTGCACTATTGTTCAAAGCGGGTCACACTATTGTTCAAAGCGTGTCACTCACTCACACACTCACTCGCTCACTCTGCTGTGAAAGCCATGGTTAGACCGACGAGAATAAAGTACGCTGAATGCTACGAAGGCGAAGGTTAGCGTTGTCTAGAAAATTAATAAAACTGTGATGATGATTCTTCAAATTTCAGTGACAGTTTTGGGAAACAGACTCTATGTAATTCAGTATTGTATTACTGGACCAACTGTGGGTTAACTTATCAGCAACTGGCCGACTGACGGACTGACTTTGACTGATTCACTAACTCTCTAACTGACTGACACCTGACTGACACCTGACTGACACCTGACTGACTCTCTCACTGACTGACACCTGACTGTCACTGACTGACACCTGACTGACTATTTGACTGTCTGACACCTGACGCTGTCAGTGACTGACACCTGACTGACACCTGACTGACACCTGAGTGTCACTGACTGACACCTTACTCTCTCACTGACTGACACCTGGCTGTCAATGACTGACACCTGACTAACTCTCCCACTGACTGACACCTGACTGACTCTGTCACTGACTGACACCTTACTGACTCCCACCGACTGACACCTGACTGACTCTGTCACTCACTGACACCTGACTGACACCTGCGTGACACCTGAGTGTCAATGACTGACACCTGATTCTCTCACTGACTGACACCTGCGTGACACCTGACTCTCTCACTGACTGACACCTGACTGACTATCTAACTGACTGACACCTGACTGACTCTCTCACTGACTGACACCTGACTGACACCTGACTGACTCTCCTACTGACTGACACCTGACTGACTCTCCCACTGACTGACACCTTACTGACTCTCCCACTAACTGACACCGAACTGACTATCTGACTGACACCTGACTGATTCTGTCACTGACACCTGACTGACTCTGTCACTGACTGACACCTGACTGACTCTCCCATTGACTGACACCTGACTGACTCTGTCACTGACTGACACCTGACTGACTCTCCCACTGACTGACACCTGACTGACTCTCTCACTAACTGACTATCTGACTGACACCTGACTGACTCTGTCACTGACTGACACCTGACTGACACCTGACCGACTCTGTCACTGACTGACACCTGACTGACACCTGACTGACTCTGTCACTGACTGACACCTGACTGACACCTGACTGACTCTGTCACTGACTGACACCTGACTGACACCGGACTGACTCTCCCACTGACTGACACCTGACTGACTCTCCCACTAACTGACTATCTGACTGACACCTGACTGACTCTGTCACTGACTGACACCTGACTGACACCTGACTGACTCTGTCACTGACTGACACCTGACTGACTCTGTCACTGACTAACTCTGTCACTGACTGACACCTGACTGACACCTGACTGACTCTGTCACTGACTGACACCTGACTGACACCGGACTGATTCTCCCACTGACTGACACCTGACTGACTCTCCCACTAACTGACTATCTGACTGACACCTGACTGACTCTGTCACTGACTGACACCTGACTGACACCTGACTGACTCTGTCACTGACTGACACCTGACTGACACCTGACTGACTCTGTCACTGACTAACTCTGTCACTGACTGACACCTGACTGACTCTGTCACTGACTGACACCTGACTGACTCTGTCACTGACTGACTCTGTCACTGACTGACACCTGACTGACTCTGTCACTGACTGACACCTGACTGACTCTGTCACTGACTGACACCTGACTGACTCTGTCACTGACTGACACCTGACTGACGCTCTCACTGACTGACACCTGACTGACACCTGACTGACGCTCTCACTGACTGACACCTGACTGACTCTGTCACTGACTGACACCTGACTGACACCTGACTGACTCTGTCACTGACTGACACCTGACTGACTCTGTCACTGACTGACACCTGACTGACTCTGTCACTGACTGACACCTGACTGACTCTCTCACTGACTGACACCTGACTGACTCTCTCACTGACTGACAAACATTCAGGACAATCACGTGGAGTTTAATCTTCTCCCCGCGAACCTGAATGCATTTGCGACAGTTGATTTCTCGAAAACAAATATATAAACAAACAGTCACTGAACAGTTAACCTAAAGGGTCCTCCGATACACATTGAATTCACGTGCACCGTAAAAAACAATCCGCGAAGTAAATGACATTGTTCGTGTATTTGACCCACAGAACCGACAATCCATGAACAGTTTTTCAGTCTATTACTTAAATAGTCCAAGCACTTGTGGATTCCAACTCCTTTGATTTGAATGTCTCTCTCCTCATACACTTGCTGACCCTATGAGCTATCTGAATGAAGACACTAAGGGTACTGCTAAGCTGACGATGAACCTATTGACCCACTAAACCATCTGAAGCCATTCAATACACTCCAGATAGTCCTGCCAAACTGACGAAAGAAGTACCTGCTGACCTACGAAACCTTACATTCCGAACCACAATTATCTAAGACAGGAAATCGGAATCCTACTGCGAAAAGCAGCAGTATTTATTGCCACAACAAATTATATTCAACCTTTAATCGTGTATTGAAAAGGCTTCCTTCATCGACAAGTGAGAATCGATCTCCCCCTGATTAACGGGAGACCAATGAGACCTCACTATCAGATGACCCAATCAATGGATCCCCACTCGACTGATAAAAATAGTTAGAGATAATTTCAATTAGTTGACAGAATTGCAATCTTCTGTGGTCGCTGCCGACGTGTAATTGTAGGCCACCAGATATTCGGCGACCAGATGATGAGGAGCACGATGTTGTTCGCCTACGAGCATTGACCTCTGTGACGTTGTAATTTACAGACATAAGTGATGCGCCTACCGTTAATGACCTGAAAGATTAAAATGTCGCATACCTTTATGTTCGTCTCTTGATCTTTGGTTTTAAATGTGACTGGTGATGGTTTCACTGCGTTTCCTGAACGTGTTAAATGACAGTCGTTTTGGTAAACGTGCTTGGGATAAGTGGTTGTCATAATTCATCATTCGTCGAGTATGCGGGCTTTATATACTGGTTGTTACAAAGTGGACGAGGGATGTAGAGACCAGATGTCCAGTACGAGAGTACGAGAGGCGTTCAATAAGTTTTGCAACTTCAATATAAGACCAAGTCGCAGAATATCTTTTGCACTTTTTTTCTTCAATATAATCTCCATTCACCTCAATTCACTTATTCCATTTGTCCTTCAAGCTTTTAATAGCACTTTAATAGAAATCCGCAGATAGGCCCTCTAACCACGCCTCTGTGGCAGCCTGAATGTCCACGTCATCCTGGAGACCCGTGAAGATTCCGGGGTAGAATAGGTCTTCAGCAACCGATACTTGCCGTAAAAGGCGACTATGCTTGTCGTAAAAGGCGACTAACGGGATCGGGTGGTCAGGCTCGCAGACTTGGTTGATGCATGTCATCAATCCCAATTGCGTGGATCGATGCTCATGATATTAATAACTTGATTGTCTGGTCAAGACTCGATTATTTACCGACCGCCGTCATATAGCTGGAATATTACTGAGTGCGGCGTTAAACAACAAACCAACCAACCACACCAATCGTTATCCTGGAAGCGTCTTCCACGTAGGGCAGATTTCATTTGCCGGAACAGGAAATAGTCACTGGGGGCTGTAAGGTGGGCTATTTAACTGTTCGAATCCACATTCACATATGGCGGCCTGTGCAATTCCCGACTTGTGAACCGGAGCATGTAAGGAACTTTGTTACATCACGTTGTTCATGTTTGAGAGAATCCATGATTGTGACCACCCTTAGGTGAATGAATCCATCACATCTAACTTATTGTTGTGTCTGTCAACCTAATGTTCTGACTAGTGTCACACCTACCACAAGTTGACATTGTTTGTGGAAACACAAATGCCCAAGTTGCAACCCTCTTTCAACAGGAGGTACACTCGAATCCGTCCATCGCTGTGGCTGAGGTGAAAACGAGACTCGTCAGTGAATAGAACTTGTCCCCACTGCATGGCCGTCCAGCGTAGACGCTGTCTGCACCACTGTAGACGTGCTTGACGGTGGTTTCCTGTCAAAATGGGACGTCTGGCGGGTCTTCTGGCGACAATCCCTGCACATCTGAGGCGACGACGTACGGTTTGTGAAGATATTCGTCGAAGGCCAGGGATTCTTCTTGCAGTCACTGTTGCTGGCTGGAATCAATTTCGTAGGTGTGTTGTTCGAATCCAGTTGTCTTGTCGATTATTGGTTACGCGTGGCCTGTCACTCCGAGGATGGTCTCTGACTGCATTCGTCTGTTGCCAGCGTTGCCTTAAACACCAAATGGTGTTCCTTTGGACGTTAGATTGTCTTGCAACACCACGTTGACTCAATCCTGCTTCAAGCATACCATTGGCTCGCAGACGCTCATTTTTGGACAGGCGTGGCATTTCGTAATGTTGAATAATTGCGTAATTTCGTTGTTTTTCTGAGTGGTTGTTGTCAGCACGATGCTAAACATTCATGGGTAGTGAAATGCATGGGGCTTGCATAAAAGTCAACTTTTGCATGGAATGCATACTTTTCTGTAGCAGTTGCGTTTTTGTGACTTGATTCCATACATGTACTACAATATTAAAAACCCAACTTGTTTGAAAAATACACTAAAATATTGGTGTCACAGGAACTTTTGTTGTTGAGTATATATAACCTGTTAGTTGTGATGATGTATACCGTTCTGTTGTTGTTTTACTTCTGGTTAACTTTCCGTCGTTGGTTTACTGATATGTAGCCTTCCGTCGTTGGTTTACTGATATATAACCTTCTGTCGTATTTTTGCTGATATATTGATTGATTTTGTGATCAATTTCTGTCTTTTGTGATGATATATCATTATGTCGGTATTTTGCTGATATATGGATTGATTTGCTGATCACTTTCTTCCACTGTTTCGTTTAATAAATAACCTGTATACACTGATACCAAACTTTCTGTCCTTGTTTTTCCATCTTTCCGAGGCAAGAGCGTCCACAAGCTTGTTTATCAAAGTCTTGTTTCCACCCTTGCCACATCAAGCCACTTTCCTGTGCTAAATATGATTGGACTATCGCACATATTGATAATCCAATCAGAGAACGTTTGACAAAATCAACATCCACGACTAGTACATATTCGTACGAATGTGATTTACCCTAAACGTCTTTGTTGTCACGAATATTGTCTCCTTCATCTCAACAATTGCCTGTGTTTTTTTAAGGGATGAAATCGCGAATGTTTCGTTATCTGACCGACTATTTCGTCGTACTCACCATCGTTGTGCAGCCATACGAGATAAGAACAGCGATCTGATTGGATATCGCGTTTTCATTGCAAGGGCGACAACTCGTGATCTACGCTTGGTGGTGCCAGGGTCGAAACAAGAAAAGCGTCCTTGATGTGGCAAGGGTAGAAACTATGGTTCGTTCGTTTCAATGTCGTACCAATGAATGAGTGAGTGAGTTGGGTTTAACGCCGCTTTTAACAGTATTCCAGTTATATCACGGCGTGTCAGCTTAATGTGGGAGGAAATCCCGAATTGATGCAGGTCACGGACGTTTACCACTTCGGTGAAACCCACGAGCACGGGTATGGTGCTGACCTAGAAACATAATCGGGGCGAACCGGGATTCGAACCCACAATCATAGGTTTCTGGCGTGCCCAAGGGACGCAACTCTGCACAGCGAATCGCGGCGCCTTAGACGACTGGGCCACTTCGTACCAATGAAATAGATGTAGAATGTACACAGTATAGATATAAACCCCAAAGCAACAATTCGTCTTAAATGACAAGAAAATTCCAGTTATATCACGGCGTGTCAGCTTAATGTGGGAGGAAATCCCGAATTGATGCAGGTCACGGACGTTTACCACTTCTGTGAAACCCACGAGCACGGGTATGGTGCTGACCTAGACACATAATCGGGGCGAACCGGGATTCGAACCCACAATCATAGGTTTCTGGCTTGCCCAAGGGACGCAACTCTGCACAGCGAATCGCGGCGCCTTAGACAACTGGGCCACCTCGTACCAATGAAATAGATGTAGAATGTACACAGTATAGATATAAACCCCAAAGCAACGATTCGTTTTAACTGACAAGAAAGTTGTTAATTCGTCCATACCAAGCCGTCACAATAATTTCAGAAATTGTCATAAAGTAGAAAAAAGTTGTTTATCAAACTCTCATGTAATTGTTGGTGTATTAATACCTGTTGCTACAGGGGTATCTGCATTGTAATCTGAACAGTCCTACATTCGCACGTGAATTTCGCGCATGTTGGGCCAACCCAGGCCACTATTGCCTTTTCTGTAATAAAATTTCATCAAATGAATAGTCTAAATCAGAAGCGTATTTTTCTGTAGTAGTTATTAAACGGAATATACAATAATAATCTGTAAAATGTTCTCAGAGTTATGTTAGTGATATTCTTGGTATTGCTATTCAACTAATTTTAAATGCAAATAATATAGTGAGTGAGTGAGTGAGTGAGTTGGGTTTAACAGTATTCCAGTTATATCGCGGCGTGTCAGCTTAATGTGGGAGGAAAGCCCGAAGTGATGAAGGTCTAAGACGTTTACCACTTCGGTGAAACCCACGAGCACGGGTATGGTGCTGACAAACCAAGAAACATAATCGGGGTGAACCGGGATTCATAGGAAACATAGGTTTCTGGCGTGCCCAAGGGACGCAACTCTGCACAGCGAATCGCGGCGCCTTAGATGACTGGGCCACCCGTGCCCCCGCAAATAATATAACAAAAAGAACGAGCTCAATATATCATTACAATACGGTACATATAAATGAAATTCACAGGTGATTTGAAAACATTGGTATTTCATGTACATGATTATTGCAAGGTGGAGGGGTGGAGGATGGGGGGGTGGGGGGGTGCAATGACAATGTTGAGACGGGAATTAAAGCTTCATATTATAAAAGCGAGGGATCATAGAAGATTTGAGACGACCCCTGTGTTCCGCGATGAACTTCAGCTGTTATGTTTATTGCGCAGAACCCCTTGTAACAACCTCCATTGAAACACCAACAATTACATGACAGTTTGTAAAACAATAGATTCTCTACTTCATGACAATCTCTGAAATTATGTCGACGAGTTGGACAAATAAAAAACTTTTATGCCATTTAAGACGAATTGTTGTTTTCGGATTTACATCTATATTGCATTTCATATGCATAGGTACGATTTTGCAGTAAACGGACTTTGACGAAGGCGAGTGGACACGCTTACCTCGGGAAGATGCTGTTTTGATGACGAAGCTATACATTTTTACACTTATCGCTCACCCTCGTAATGTTTCTGTATATACGGAAATATCAGTCTTCCGCTTTACAAATTGCATTTAATATATCGAGATCATAGCTGGAGGCCCAAACAACAATCTAGCCTTCCCTAGTAACACCTGAGCCCTACATTTACGTCTTTCGAGAATGTTGAACAAATTGCTGCCAATTCCGTATAAGCAATTTGAATGGATTGTACCCTAGGGATCTCAAACCAACTGAAGACTCCCCCGCACCTAATTTAGATTGTACAGCAATTCAGCTGCCATATGGGGGTCAGACGTGACTATTAGGTGGCCAGGCAACCTATCGATCTGCTCCTTGTTACGGCGAGACTGTTGGTACATCACTGATCCTGTCTTCTTCTTGTCTTGTCTTGTTTGTTGTTTAACGCCGTACTCAGCAATATTCCAGCTATATGACGGCGGTCTGTAAATATTCGAGTCTGGACCAGACAATCCAGTGATTGACATCATGAGCATCGATCCACGCAA